ATATGGTTTTTGTTTATATTTGTGTTGTAATAGTAGTGATGGTTTTTTCATCTACCAGCGTTTTATCTCAGCTAGAGGGTGGTCTCCCCACCACTCTATGTCTCTGGTGTGTCTCTCAGATAGAAAGTGGTTTTTCTACTTTTCTAAGATTGAGTTGTGTGACTTGAGTCTATTGTTGCACTAGAATGTGGCTCATCTTGAGCCATTTCTGCGTGACCGAACCTTATTCTAGTGCTATTTTGTGGAGGAGTCTTTTCCGTTTTTGTTATAAAGGTCCGTTTGTATTATCTAATTATGTGAGTGGCATCCGTTTCTTTCACTTAAGAGTTGTCTTGTATCTTAACCCTTTAATGGTTCTTCAATGAATATATTTCGGCCTCATTCAGTTCGCCGATTTGAGTTTTCAATTCAAGTTGAGATGTAACTTTATGTGAAAACTTTTAGCTGTAGCAAAAAAGTTAGATGTGACTTTTATGAGAGCTTTTAACTATAGCAAAACTAAAATTGAAAACTCGAATTGATAAAATGAAAGAGGCCTTGATTGTCGTTTTAAAAAAAAAAAAACTTTTCTTTTTAGCATATTTAGGCCTCGTTCATTTCGCTGATTCGAGTTTAGAATTCGAGTTTTGCTACAGTAAAAAGCTCTCAGAAACAGTCACATCTAACTTTTTTGCTACAGTAAAAAGCTCTCACACAAAATCACATCTCAACTCGAATTACAAACTCAAATCAGCGAAGTGAACGGGCGCTTAGTTAACGATATTTGGCAAGCAAAAAAGATAAGAGACTACCAACTCGTGAAAACGTATGAAGTATTATATTAAAAACACCACAAATCGCTGGCGATGCTATGAAGTATTATATTAAAAACAAAAAAGTAAAAACGTATCCCGGAACCTTTAAAATAAACCAACAACTATATCTATCGTCTAATTTAAAAAAAAAAAATTTATCAGACTAAGACCACTTAATTTTTAAAACAAAATTAACTATGTTGACTAATTTCAGAGAGAGAAGAGAATGTAAAGACCTCTCATGAATTTGTTTCAAGAATAAACTTGAACAACATTGCAGCATTAGGCCTAGTACATTTCGCTCGTTTAAGTTAAGAACTTGAGTTAAAAAGTGAATTCATGTGAGAGAAAATATTGTATAGTAGAAAAAAGTTGAATTTAAATTTTTATGAGAGAAAACACTGTAACAAAAACTTGAGTTATAATTCGAATTAACGAAACGAATAATGCATTAATTACTAATTGGCTTAAAAAAGTAACATTTCTTTTTACTAATTAAGAACTATGATATATATATATATATATATACCCACGCACATTAATAGTGTCCAGACATTCTAAAGAGAAGGGAATGGAGTTGGACCACTAACCACTAATTTTAGAAGTAAAGAAGATAATTTTTTTTGGACTTTGTTACTTGTGTCAACATGCATTCTAAATTTTAAAATGTGCATGTTGTGCCCCCTGAACTCTATCACTTGTATCAACATTCCCCTAAAGTTAATTTGTTAAGTTTTTTAACGAATTGCTTATAAACACCCTCTGAACTTTGTCACTTGTGTCAATACGCTAATTTATCATAAAGTATTGTTCTTAGCATTCATCTTCGCTACACAATTCTCTTCTTTGCTTCTAACTAGAAAAAAAAAAAAGACAAATTTTGTAAATTCCCCCTAAATTTTATCACTAACGTCAATATGCCCCCTGAACTTTAAAATGTGCATGTTGTGCCTCCCTAAACTTTGTCACTTATGTCAACATGCATCCTGAGGTTAAGTCCATTAAGTTTTTTAATAAAAATACTTATAAATGCCCCCTGAACTTTAAAATATACCAGTTTTGCCCCCTGAACTATGATATGTCTCCAACTTCTCTCTCTCCATATTGATTCTATTAGTTTTTTGAACGAAAATATTGATATGATTATTAAATTGCTAATTATCTATGATATTTGAGGTTTTTTGAATACCTTCTCCTCTAAAAAATGTTAGTTGAGTATCAATTCTTAAAACATTAATTGATTAGAAGCAATAAAAAGGGAAAAAATGAAGAGCAAATCTGTATAATGTAATGAATTTTCCGTTAAAGTTCAGGGGGCATTTATAAGCTTTTCCGTTAAAAAAACTTAACGGGGTTAACCTCAGGGAGCATATTGACACAAGTGACAAAATTCAGAAAGCACAACATGTACATTTTAAAGTTTATTAGGCATTATTGATACAAGTGATAAAGTTTAGGGTGACTTTATAAATATTTATTTTTTATTTTTTTTATTTTTTGCTAGTTAGAAGCAAAGAAGAGAATTGTGTAGCGAAGATGAATGCTAAGAACAGTACTTTACGATAAATTGGCATATATATGGCTTACTTTTAGTTCCTTGAAACAATCAAATAATATAAGGCTGAAAAATGCTTTGGTAGTATACTTTATCATGAAAATGTCACTCATTTTAAATACTGGACAACTAGTACTGTGGTATTTTATGACACCAATAGGTCCATCGTCTCGCAACTCAGCAAAGAAAACATATACACATAGCTCATAAAATTGCATGTTTCATACTAATGCTTAATCTTAGAATACTTTTCATATTCACGGGCGGGGTTTGAGTAGATTTACAGAAATAACAAATAAAGATTAATCCTTTAAATTTATAAATATTAAGTTTGATGATAGCTAAAAGTTCCAAACTGTCCTAAAAAAGAGAAGGGCAGTTTGAAAGTTTCAAAGGGCAGTTTGAAAGTTTTAAAATTTTTTTTTTTTTTTTTTTTTTTTTTTATGAAACAAAAGAATGAAGTTTTTAAGGTATCAAAAGTTTAAACATGTAGATGACTTTTTAGTATTATTGAAAACATAAAGTACTTTCGAGATATTTTATCAAAGGTGCAAAATGTTTTTTTTTTTTTTTTGAGCAAGTGCAAAAATGATTTTATTCTTATAAAAAATTATGGAAATAAATAAAGGAAAGAAACGACTGGAACTAAAGCGAAATGTTGCTTGTAATTGTACTGGACGTAGTTTGCACGTCATAGAAGACGACACATCGTTTTCTCCTCAAAATAAAACCAGACACGTCGATTGTTAGTGTCGTTTCTAATTTCTCGCATAAAAGACAGCAAATTTTTTTTCCTAGTAAATGTTATTTTTCACGGAAACAAAAAGTACATGTCGTTTTAATCCTGAACTTGAAAGTTGAAACTGCATGTTTGTTTACTAGACGTCGTTTTACATGGTAGAGGTGAGGAATGTCTTTTTTTTTTCTTTTTCTATAAAACAAAAGATCGTGTTTATGCGACTACCAGAGTATCAGGAAAATAAACATATCCATTGTTATTAAACCGAAAAAAAAAAAAAATATTTTTCAGAAAATCGTTTTGCCTTTGAAAAACAAACATACCGTTTTTGTTCTTTTAAAAAAAAAAAAAAAAGGAGATGCCGTTTTTGCTCTTGAAACACAAGACACGTCGATGTTTTTATTATACACGGACGACATGTAGTTTAAGTATGATGTCGTTTGATCCTAATTACAATAGACGACATGTGCCGCTCCCCAAAAAAAAGGTAGAAATTCGTCGTTTACTCGTGGACTCATGGGCTCCCCTTCTCATTGTCTTTTTCGGTTTTGTGAGCTCAAAGTGTTAGGGCTTGCAGATTCGATCTAAACATGCTTATATCAACTTAGTAGCATTTAGATCAATGCGGAATGAAAGGACCGAAAAGCATACCTCCGGCCATTGATGTCGTCAGCAATCCGGAAATGGAGTCTGTGTTTTGGTGGGTTAAGGTGCTTCTAAAACCTTTTCAATCTCAGTAATCGATGGTGTAAAAATTGAAGGTGAGAATAAATGGCTTAGGGATCAAACCAAGGAAAGTTCTGTATTTTGGCATGCTCTGTCCACAAAAGGTTACCACCGGCTGGAAGAAGTCTAATATTATTACCAACCACCGACTGGAAAAAGTCTCAACGCCACCGGTTGAAAAAACAATATTACCACCAGCCAATTGGAAGAAAACTTCTAACACAAAGTACATGCATTAGCCCTTTTTTTTTCTTTTTTTTTTCTTTTTTCTGGTCGAAGTTATACATGTTTAACACGAGCGCATCTTTTGGATTCAAAGTTTTCCAATAACTTTAAATTATAAATTTATCAGGTCCACTTTTTGTGGTAATCTTCTCTTACTGCTACATGCTTTTTTGACCGAAATATTCTAGGGATATTTACATTTTTTATATTCTATGTTTTGGGTTTATTCAAAAATTATATTTTTATTTTGTAATCTCATCAAATGTATATCTTTAAATTAGATTTCATACTCAAATTTATTTATTTTTAAGTCAACTTGCAATTTTAAACATAAAATACCTAAAGTATCTTTAAATAAAAATGGAAAAAAAACTAAAAAAACCTTTAAACTTACGATTTTAACCTTGAAAAATCTAAAATACGATTGACATGAGTTTTTTTTTTTGTGTTTTTAATTATTATTTTTTGTAGTGTTGAAAAGTTTTGAGCGCTTTTGGTTTCAATCTCAAAAAGTTTTTCATGCTTTTCAACGAACAAAAACTGAAACTAATTTCAAAAATGCGTTTGGGTTGTGTTTTTAAAAAAATTGAAACTGAAAACGTTTTGGACCCTTTTCATATTTTGTATACATTTCTGAAAACGGTTTATACTCGTTTTTCATTTTCTTCTACTCTATTTTCCTTCTCTCATTGATGTTCCTCGTTCTCTACCGCACCATGGTCTACGCCCGCCAAAAGGAAGATCCGTGGAACTCGATCATTGCCGGCGCCGCCACTGGCGGCTTCCTCCAAATGCGCCCGGGGTTTGCCGCCTCAGGTGGGGATGGGCTTAACATGGCGAAGATGGCGAGGATTGGTGGCTCAACTGAGGAAGGCTTGCCGGCGGCTGGGAGGGATCTTCACTGCTCACCATGGTGCTCTGACACTAACAAATTCAGGTTGGGGGCGCAGCTGGTAGAAGGTGGCTATGAGGGAAGATTAATCGTCCTCAAGGTTTTCAACGTCGTCTTCGATTCCAACTCCGACGAAAGTGTAGTCGTCATCGGTGAGGAAATCGATGAGGGATTTTGGGATTTTGCCCGCATAGAGGAGCTGGAAGATGAGACAAGATCTGCTGACGTAGAGATGGAGTGTGGCGACGGCGTTGGAGGAGCTGGGGTGGGTGTTGGGACACCACTCGATGTCAAGGTTGATGACGAGCATGTGGAGTCTGCGGCGGTGGACGAATTCAGTGTTTCTGATCCAATCGGTGACCATGGAGGCTCTATCAGTGACTAGCGTTTCGATCTCCTCGTCGAAGAAGGTCACGTCGTAGAGCTCGCGGAGTTCCGGTGAGTTGAGGTTGTATTTTACGATGGTGATAGTCATGGCTTGATGATTAGGCAAAAGTCTTTCGTAGAGAGTTTTTCTAGGTTGTAAGTTTTCTCTGAAAGTTGGCTAGAAAGAGAAACCAAGAAGGACAAAACTGGGAAGGGAAATGAATGCTTCTGCAACATAATGTTTATTCATTTATTTTATTATGTCTATTAATAATATTTGCCATGACATTAAAATTATTAGCGACGACATTGTTATTTTATTTAACGAAAACTATCTGCGACGACATGTCATCGTAAATAGTGTATTATTTGCGACGACAAATGTCGTCACAAAAAATGTCGTCGCAAATGGCCTTAATTGTTGTAGTGGAAAATAATCTGAAAACAAAAAAAAATGTATAACCAAACGGAGTTTCAGTTTTTTCTTATACTAAAAACAATCTCTCAATAAAATAACTAAACGCATTTTTAAAAACGATTTCTGCTTGAGATTGAAAACGTTTTCATTTCCAGTTTCATACAAAAAATAAAATCATTTTGAAATCAATTCCAAACGCACCTTTTAGTTTTACTTTTTTTTTCCTTAAGGATAATTTGATCATTTTAAAGGTCAAAATCAATTATTGACCGAGATAAGGGATAAATCTGTTTGTTAAGTCAAATTTGAATGTATACATTTGATAAGATCAAAAACTAAAAGTATAGATTTTGAATAAACTAAAAACATAGGGTATAGAAATGTAAATATCCCAATATTTTACTTCTATGTTTATAATTTTGTGTATTATAAAAGTATGTTTCAAGATGTTTCATCCATACTCGTATACCTGCAAGGTATAAATAGACGGGCAAAACTGATTATAAGAGCTAGAAAAGAAAGAACGAATCTGTCCTTCAGGCAAATAATTCATAAACAGAAATAAAAATTCCATGACAGGATATAAAAAATACTTTATGGAAAGCGTTCTGTATTGGACATACATATATATATATTAAATAATTTATATTAATTTTGTATACTTTTCATTACTATGATGTGATTTTGATGCGATATACAAAGACATCACACACTATAAATAACCATAGGTATTTCATATCATAAAAAACTCAAAAGAAGAAAATAATATATATATATATATATATCTAGTTTAATCTAATTTGATCTTCTCAGCATCTTTGCCATCACAGTAAAATTTGTAAGTGGGTTTTGTATGTGCATGCTTGTCAATATTTCAAAACATAAAACTGTTGTTTAAGTGGACAAATTCAACATTAATTGTCTGAGAGAATGTATAATTTTGATATCATGAATTGAAATCTAAAGGTAAAATGTTAAGAACATCTATAATGCATGCCATATATGTTTAAAAAGTATAGAATACAAGGAAGTAAAAGAAAATAATTAATAAAAAAATGGGGCTAGAAAGAGGGATAAAAAAATAAAAAAATAAAAACCCAAATGTCTGCATGAAAGGCTATCAAAGGGGGATCCAGAGTAAAATGAACGAGGTTATGCGATAAACACATGAGAGACATTTTTGCCTCTAAGACGGCATGTTTTTCTTTGTTAAAAGGATCAACCATAAATAATCTTGTGATTTTTGAGTAAAATGCTAAGGATTTTGATGATTCGTTATAATATCAACTTTTTTTTTAACAAACTTTTCCTTACAAGTTTCATCTTTCTTGCTATCTAAACAAAATTCTCTTTAATAACTAATTTGTACAAAATGGCATTATTGATCAAAATATTAAATTTGAAGACTGTAGATATGTAGTTTCCCAAGAATTGAGAATGTTTTATAAAAATATGAAACTGTAAAAGTGATTTTATGTAGTTGATAGATATCTTTTGTTAAAATCTTGTTTCCACTTGAGTGGGCCAAGAAACATGGTATTAAAATCCTAAAGCTACTTTAATTATGCACTAAATGGTTGTTTTAAATCGTCACTTAGGACCAACATGACAAGGAGACGTGATTATCTAAACCATAATTGTTCGGTTTAAGTATTAATTTAGATCTAGAGAGTTCCTTTTTGTGAAAGAGCTAGATTGAGCACTTACGAATGTTCAGCAACATGTAATGTATGATAATTATAAAGGTTAGGGTTTATCTGTATCCTGGCCCCCAATAATTATTCTTAAATTTCGAACATTTTTAGAATTATTATGTAACGTACATGTGTAACTAAAGCAACTTAACTGGAAAGAAGAACTTGTTATATATATAAAGGGGAAAGATAGTAATATCTTGAGCCAATGAACCCAATATCAATAATGTATAAGAACAGAACTACTTGAGAAGTATGTGGGGAAAAAAAAAAAAAAAAAAAAAAAAAAAAAAAAGGAACAAACGTCATGGAAAAAAGTACTTGACGGAAAGAATAATTTGTGTTACCTAAGGTACATGTCACGCTTGGGCATGACATGTCGACCACACACTAGAGAGAGAGAACAAGATTTTGATTGTGGCTAAAACAAGAGGAAATTTGTGAGAGTTTTCCTTTGTCGAGTAGTTAGTTCACACAGATTTTTTTTTTCTCCAAGGTAAGAGAAATGGTGGAACTTCGCGCCTTACTTTTATGGGGGCTTTCAAGTAGTTGTTTGGACAGACAACGAGATCTCATAAAGAGATTTGGTCTAATTTTGATTGAAAGAGTAATTGTTGCATAGAATCATATGGGATGTTTGTTTTGCAATATAAGGCAATGAAAGTAAAACGTCAAAAGTCCACTCAATCCTCATTTTTCTTTCTGTCTTAACCTTTTGATTTGTGGGGTTCAAAGAAATTGCCCAAAAATGACTTTTGTGCCTGTGCCCTAATTATTTTGTAAAACTATTCTTATCTTTTGTAAGGGGTTAACTTTGGGGATTAAAATTCGTTTCAATAATATAATGCACAAGGATATGGCACTATCATAGCAATAAGGGACTCCACACTTGTTTCTCCTTTTTCTCTGTCGGCCATTTTCGCCGGTCCCACTAATATAGAAAATAACATTTAGCTATTGCTAGTAATTAGGTATATGACCTAACTATTTATAACATGTTTCATGTTTTTATACATTAACACAAGATTACTATATATATATATATATGTATTAACATATAATTTACTATCATTCAAAAAAAACCTACCATACAAAAAACGCAATTACTGAATTGAAAATATACAAAGTAGTAATTAGTTTAATTTCTTATCTTTTGTTAACGAGGAAGATTGATATGGTACATATATAACGTAGTAATTAGTCCAATCTCTTATTTAATTTTTAGTATTTCATTTAATATGGTCAAAATTCCTCATTTTATTTCAGTAAGTTTCTCTTACTATTAAATAGTTAGTTTCCGTTATTATTGTTTTTGCTTCTCTATAAAAAGACCTAATCTTATCTTATTATTTAAAAACATCAATTTACGCCATCACGAATTCAAAATTTCTCTATATTCTTCTTCTTCTCTCTCTAAATTTAAAATTTCTCCGTTTCCTTTTCCTTTCCTCTCTATTATTCATTGCGTATTCGACCCCTCATTCGATAGTTACTCAAGTCCAAATAATCCTATTGGATATATGTAGTACTAGCTATGCTATATATATATATATACATATATATAGTTATTTCACTCATTTAGCGTATTATGTAAAACGCAAGTATCACGGCGTTTTTTGCGTGCAGTGGATGATATGTACATCTAGAATATGGTTAAGTACTAGCTACTAGTCCAAAAAAAAAAAAAAAGTCTCGGAACACTTGCGTCATCAAGTGCTCTATTTTTAAGGACAGTGAATGTGAATCTCTTCTTTATCCATATATAGTACAAAGCCCTCCATTTTACAACTTCTCCATCAATCAACTTTTTCTTAAAAAAGATTGCGGCAGGAAAAAAAAAAAAAAAAAAAAAAAAAAAAGAAAAAGCTTATTCTCCAATGGAACCAACAAAGAACGAGCCTTGTCCGGTGTCCAATATTTCTCCTCCAGATGATGATGATGATGATGATGATGTTAATGATCAAATCAAGGAGATTAAGATTGACATCGTTGAAAAAGAAGATGAAGAAGAGGATCAGACGATCATCAACAAGTCTAATGTTATGTCATTAGATCTCAACCTGAATAATTCTGGTAAAAGTCTTGAACTAAATCTCATAGATTGCTTGGATAGTAGTACTACTATGTCAAATTCTTCTCAAACCACATCATGTACACCATCACAAAACAAAATGATTAGTACGACACAAGGTTCCGATAATTCGGAGCAGCGGGTTTTCTCTTGCAACTATTGTCAGAGAAAGTTCTACAGTTCTCAGGCGCTCGGAGGTCACCAAAATGCGCACAAGAGAGAGAGGACGCTAGCCAAGAGATCGGGACAAAGATTAATGGGAATTAGTGATCATCATCGCATATTTGGACACCAATATCATCCGTATTTCGATCGGATTCAATGGTCAAGCATGGCTTCTCTTCCTCTTCATGGTGCTTATAACAATAGGTCTCTCGGAATTCAGGTTCACTCCATGATTCACAAGCAGCCTAATAATTCCTTTGGTAATAGTAATAATATTATGTATGGACAACCGGCAATTGGGAAGCATACGACAGCGGGATTGTTGTCGTCCAAGGCTAGTTCTGCAGGAAGATTTGATCATGTCTCCAAGGGTATTATTGGTTCTCCCAACCAATATGAGAGAATTGGAAGATATACTAATTGGTGTGGAGGTGGTGGTGACCGTTTGATCATGAACACTGATCATCATCACAAGGAGGAGATTAGAAAGCTTGACTTGTCTCTCAAGCTCTAGAGTAAGAATTAAAGATCTTCTTAATTATTTGTTAGGGTATTTTCGGTTCTATCTTTTTTCTTATAAATTTACCATGATTTGGTTTGAAATTTTATCATTTTTTTTCTTTTCTTTTTAATTTTCTACAATAAGGATACTATTATGTATATTTTCCTATTGAATGTATGAGGAAATGTTATGTACTTAATCTTTCAGTTTTGTTTAAATCAGATACAATATGTGGTACCTACTTAAGACTACTACTCGAACAGATCATTGATTGCAAAGTGTTTTCTTTTTCTTTTTTTATTATTATTTTAATTTCTCTCTCCCTTTTGGCGATTGAGTTAATTGATTTGAGCTATTTTAAGATATGTTCAATGTTTGACATACTTCAGAGAGACATGATATGACCTACTCTTAGAATTTTTAAGCTTAACCACCAAGATTAATCTAGATAGCATGGAGTGCGACAGTCGATTTTTTGAGATGAGACTTTGAAAGAATAATGATTTGTGGCTTTATATATAAAAACTTAATAGAAATATTAATTATTTGAAGCTTAAAACCCCACCAACCACTTGCTGAACTTGTTACTATTATATAATACTATTCTTATTTCAAATTTAACACACTCCTTATAATGGGAATTCAACTACCAGTCCTTGTTATCATGTTCAACTTCAAAATCATAGCAAACTACTTTATCCACTCTTGTATACGTGTATTTTGTTCTTTTCTTTATGTTCACATTTTTTTTTATAACTAGTATCGAACGTTAGTGCCCTTTTAATATTATAAATTATTATATATTATTAGTATCCATTGGATGCTGAGTAAGCGTCGCCATCATTGCATAAATTCAGTCATATATTTTACCCTAAAGATGCAGCAAAAGATTTTAGTGTCGATTATATATATATATATATATATATATATATGATGACTTTTAAGATGAGCGCAATTTTCACATTCAACAACACACACCTTTGAAGAAAACTCCAAAAACACCAAATACGAAAGGGATTACATAATAGATGTTGCCCAACTTGATAATATTTAAGACTCGTTTAGTTCGCTGATTAAAAACTTAAGATGATATGTAACTTTATATGAGATTTTTTTATTGTATTAAAAAAGTTAAATGTGACTGTTTCTGAGAGATTTTTACTGTAGTAAAACTCGAATTCTAAACTCAAATTGGTGAAATGAAAAGGGTCTTATGAAACGTGAATTAAAATAATAATAAAAACAATAATAAGGGGCTAAAGTAATGAATCAGATAACTTAACGAATATGTTATGATTATTAAATTATGGTTTGTCCTAAGGGTAGCAATTCGAGTTAGTGGATCGTGTTCGTATCAACCCGTTTATTAATTGTGTCAGAAAACATCAATCCAAACACGACCTATTTATTAAACGTGTCAAAAATGTCAACCCAAACACGACTCATTTATTAATCATGTTAATCGTGTCAACCCGTATAACCCGTTTAAATTAATATATTGAATAATTAACTAATATAATAATAATTTATTTAACACGGTCAACACAGATTTAACATATTTATTAGTAAATTTATGTTTTCCTTTAAGGAAAAAATAAATTTTACCTACAAATATTAAAATTCACATTATTTGTATTAATATGTCATATAAACTTTTATGTTATATCACATATCATTAGATTACAAATGACACATATAATTAATCGTATCACGTCATGTTAGGAAGTCAACCCTAACCTAACATATTTATTAATCGTATTAATCGTGTCAACCCGATTATAATTCAAACTCATTTATAGTAAACCTAAACATGCTAACTTCGTACGGGTTTTGTCGTTGCAGGGGAGTGTATATAAGAATAGGACCTTGCCCCTATTTATCTAGTTTTTTAGTACTGATAGCTATCTTTGTCCTCTTCCGAGGAGCGTGCACTGTGTCACTTTCATTAAATGATATTAAGATCTAGGAAAGATTATGTTGCGTACTAATAATAATTTTAGTCTAAGGTACAATGCATCACATTTTTCATAGTTTTATATTTTATATGTATATATATTTTTTGGGCTAAGCTAAGTGGAGAAAAAGATATTCAAATATGTTAAATTATGTATGTGGGACTAAGGATAGCGTAAGTCGCCAAAATATGCCGCCCCAATTGAAAATTATAATAATTCTTATTAAAAAAAAAAAAAAAAAAAAAGGAAAGGAAAAACGGACACACAAACACTTATAAAGAAGAGCAAGTACTGAGGCTGAGCATAATAAGATGCCTTTGCTTTGGCTTCATCGAAAGTCCAACCAAAAGAGAAGAACATGAAACTTCAAAATAATCGTACGTACAATTACAAAACACTCGTGGGGAAACAGACAACATATATGAAATATCAATTGAAAAGTAAAGGGTTCGATTTGCTTCCTCGGCCAACGAAGGGTGGGGAAGATGTCAAATTAATTGTGCCCACAAATTGTGGCTAAGATACTTCATTCTCACTAGTCTCTTATTCAAAGTAACGTGGGAGCTTTTCTAGTAGGGCCTGAAAAACTAACTACTGAAAAGATTTCAATCGTCAGATATGTATCGCAACATGTCCGCTCTGCAAACTTTTTTTTATATGATGTTATTTTAGTTAGAGCTAACAGTCAGAAATTAACTCTATCAAAAAGGAGATCCTATCAGAAAAACTCTAAAGTAACTTAACTAAAAGGTTCAAAACAAGTTCAGACCAAGCTCCAAAATTCTGCTGGCAGCCAACAAGAAAAACTAAAAGGTTGAAATTTCTCAGGTTAATCTTCAAAACTAGTCGGATTATATGTTGTTAACCGACATTAATTACAGCATAAGTTATAAATGGAGGATTATATCGAAGCCAATAAGCCTAACTTTTATCTCGAAAAGAAAAAACAGCCTAACTTCGTCAAAATTCCGTTCCTATTATGGACTTGCAAGCTTATATGATCCTTAAAAAGAGAAAATTTTGGAGCAATGAAAGAAGATAGGAAAGAAGTCTATACCAGAGACTCATCATAAGAGTGATAAGAAATTTAAAACAGATTTTGACTCTAAGTCGAGAGTTACCGACTTTAATCTACCACTTTCACATCCCTTAACAGAGAAAATGAAACTTTAAAAAATCTGGATTGCACGCACGAATTTTTAATGCAGTTAAAAGTACCATAGAAATATTGCAGCAAACGAACAATTAAGTACAGCCAAAAAAAACAACTCTACAAATCTGCTAAAGCAGAGTCTTTATGTAGTGGCAAAGGCATATAAAGACTTTTTTCATGTCAAACTTTAAAGACAAATGGGAACATTGCTTGGCTCATTGCAAAAGGAAGAGCATAACTCGGCTCATCTCAATAAGCTATCTAGTGTTGTGAGGTTATATACACTCTCACGTGTATGGCCTAAAATTTGGGCCCACCAAAAGATTCAAGAGCCAAGCGCAACAGATAATTGATTAAACAAATACAAAAAATGAGAAGCCAATAATCAAGTTATGTACGTACGTAGATATTTAGCCCAAAAAAATTACGCACAATCATCACAATGCACCTAAAACACTCGTGTATCAGTAAATTCTAAATGAATTAAAGGACTGCGCTCTTAGACATCATAATTATTCAAATTCATTCGAGAAACAGTATTATAGTATTCCGTTTTATAGTATAAGCAAGAAGTCAAGAACTGAAATGTGCAAAGAAGTAACCCTGAAAACAATATGGAATTCTGAAGCTGAATTCTAATAGATACTATTCTAAAGGCTGGGAAAATTGAAGTTTTTACTAGTCGAAACATCTAGTGCGTAAATTTAGAGACCAAATGCTAAGCAATCATGTCAACGATAAGCTTGCAGTAGTCCATATGTATGTTCTACTCTGTTCACGTACTCTACATCACTACGGGCATGACCCCAAAACCGGCCCGACCTTCATAAATCCTTGTGTTTGACAAAATACATATAAAGCTAGACTCCTACTTCTTAAGTGTGATATGTCAGATATTTAAAAGAAATAGCAAAGACAGAGGTCAGACCTTCCTAACTGCCAAAATCTCCGTTAATTTTCTTGCAACAAATGTACAAAAGTAAGAAAGCATCATAAACATGTACGACATCTCATTTTCTAGTGGCTACATCGTGTGTGCAGACGGTCAAGTGCTGTTTCTATGAAAATACGTATATCATCGCAAAAATCTCTTCTTGATGACTGCCATTATAATGGGGGAAAATAATGAATATAAGTAACAAGACTAATAGCAAACAGTCAAAGATTTTCATCCTATTTTTTTTACATACGACTTAACATTTCTCAACCATTGTATAAGTTCAATTCTATCCTTGTTCATCATATAATCATGCAAGAAAACAGAAAGCTCATCATCTATTCCCCTTACTCCCAAGAATTCGTGAACCGCCTTTCGAAAATCCTCATTCAACTTCCTGAAAGATAAATCATGAACCAACAAAATCACTACCGAAACCATGGCCTGAAAATGTAACATGAGTAACTATAAAAAGGGGGGAAAAAGGGAAACAGACCTGATATCAGGTCCCATGTAAGGCCTAGCCAGCATTCTATCACGTCGAAGTAAATACACATTCTGAACTTCCAAAGAATCGGGCCACGCCGAACATACGAACTCCAAATCTTCGGAACCGTTTCCCTTGGAGATATCAACAAGAAGACTAATGTGAAGACGCAAATCTTCCCCGACGTTGTCATCTCCGAGCTTCGGAGAAAGTTCGTAACCATCGAACATGGTAGCTTCAATTTTAATATCTTCACCATTTCCAAATTTTCTTCTCATTGTCATCCATTGCTCACCCGGTCGATCTTGTACCGAAAATGATTTGTATTCCGTAACAGGCTACACAATTTCCAGCATAACAAACAGAATCAATTAAGATCATAACAAAACTCAAAAACGTCAAAGGCGAAAATTATGTTTCATCTAAGAATCAAAATTTTTAACTCAACCAATATAAAGACTCTCTCTTTTGCATCCTAACGTATTACAAGAGAAATCAAAGTTGACGAATTCTTCTATTCATTTTCCCAGCAACAAAATACATCGTCAAGCTTGTTATTTTTCTATGTACTTCATTTTTCTCTCAATTCGGATCAATTCTTGCATTTTCTAGGGAGCCAAGCAGATCATTGGCCTATATATATATATATATGAAATATAAAACAAAAATCGGAGAAAAGGAAACGAACCTCGTGAGCAGGAGTATACTCGGACAAGTGCTGAATCTCGTTGCGAAGAATTCGAACGATGTTAGCGGCGAGGGGCGATTTTGGAAGAGTCTCCTCCAAGGCCTCCGGTGTGGTTGACATGGCTTTTCGCGAGAGGAATGGAAGGCTTGATTTTCGCAGGAAGCTCCGACACTGCGTTTCCGAGGAAGGAGAAAAAATGCGACGCGCATTTTGAGAATCTCGGAGTAAACGCGCCATGGGAGCTGCGTATTTCCGGTTAGAGTTTTTCCTCCGTGGTTACGGTGGAGCTGGGGTTTTAGGATTGGGGCTTTAGGTTTTCTGTATTTCCCTAAAGACAGGAAAATGGGGAAAACGACGAAAAGTTTTTTTCTGTTGAAAACGACGTAAAGATTAGAATACCTGACGGCTGACCCCGTCATCCATTTCACCCGCTTTGCCACGAATTTCAGGGTTCAGGAAGGGAATGTAAAAAAAAATTTTGTTTATAAACCAATCAACAAAAGACGTAAAGTTTGGAGAGATGCCATGTAAAAAGGATTTTTTTTTTTTTTTTTTTTTTTTACCCTGAATAATTGTTTATTTTTTAGAATAAAGCTAATAGCGGTAAAAAAAAAAAAAAAAAAAAAAGACTTTTGTCGCTAGTAATAGTAACTTACGTCTTGTGTCGTTTATGAAATTTTGTTGTTATTTAGGCGATAAAACACAGTTCCTGGTTTAGAAGTTTATTGCGGAACATACGAGCATGTCCCTTTTCATCGAAAATGTTTATCGTTGTTTTGTTCAGTGAACGACGTTAAATTGTGGTGATTCTTTTAGAGGTGTAAACGAGATGTCCATTTTGCTTAGAAACCGGATTTCGTTGTCCGTTGAAAAATTTGTTGCCATTAGAGACTAAACACGACATGTCGTATGTTATTAATAAAGCTTTTTGTGGCTTAGTTAATAATACAACGTATCGTTTGTGGCTCAATATTTTGTTGTCGTTAAAAAACCAATACGACATGTCGTCTAAATTTTGCCACAGAGTGAAAAAATGAACATTTGTCTGGTTGCTTAAATGAATTTGTTAAAAAAAAATAAAAAATTTACTTTTTTCTGTTTCTGTACATGCAAAAGAGAATCAATAAAAAAAAAAGTAGTTTTAAAAAATTATCTGAAAAGCTTAAAATGGAAAAGAAGTGGAGAAAAAGTTGAGTCAATGTTGGAACTTGGATCATCCACTAAGCCTCTTCCATTGATACGGCCATCGGTCTTGACAGATTTTTCTTCATCAGTTTTCCTTATCAACTGGGACACCTCCGTTTCTGTAAAGATCGAACGGTAAAAGTAAAACAGATGTAGATATACGATGTAAAATATAGTATATAACATTTCATATATATATATACACACACACAATATCCGTTAATTCTATGCTTCTATTAAATAAATAAATTGTCAATTCTGAATAGTCCATAGTCAATTTGGAACGATGCCGCCGCCTCATTAACAGTTGGTGAAGTTCAAAGAAAACAGGATATAGATCACGATTATTTCATTCTCCCATTTTATAAAATAATATCAAATTTGTTTAAATTTTAAAAGGACTGCAAATAAATACACCCATTAATTTTAGGTGTTATTTGAAAATTCAACCCAAATATTATCTTTCTTAAAGTGGCCTTATCCAATGTAAAGCTGTCCACTAAGCTCATTTACTGTAGCTGATAAAAGAGGGTGATAAACAAAAATAAGTGCAATGAACATGAATGAATGGTACGAAGGGGAACCACGTGGTTGGCTAACCACCCAACCTGATAGCTCAAAGCTGGAGAGCGATGGCTAAAGCAAAAATCTGCACGCCCGTGATCTGCTCCTTTGGAGGCGAATTTAATACCCAAAACTCCATCTATATTTCACACTTGACCCCTTTTATTTATTTATTTTAATACCAATATTTTTAATATGACCTTCTCGGTAGGCGTTGATAAAAGTTAGTTTCTGTATCTAATAAAAATACATTTAGTTTTTATTAGAGATTTAATGACCAAGTAGAGAACTATTATAATTTATAATGATTATTTTTTATAGGTTTTTATTTAGAGAAAAATCCTTATTTTTAATACAGGCATACTCACAAATTATGAGTTTTTTCTTTTTCTTTTTTCTATTCTGATTCTGTATATATGTAAAATATATGAGTGTTGTGGGGACAGAAACCCGACACGCAGTTGTTTCAATAATTATCTGCTTTTGTGCATTTTGAGACCGTCAATTAGATGCAGTTCCCTTCCACGCCGCAGCATAATGAGATCCCTGTTCCTCGATAGGTGGGCTTTCGTAACACTCATGTTTTCTGTAAAAGTTAAGACTTAACGGTCAAGCAACGTGTCTGTTTCCTTTCTTCTCCATCTCTCCCGCTTTTTGTCTTTTTTTCTTCTTTAAAAATCAATAATACAAGTTATATGGAGAAATTGAAGAATAGAGATGGTGTTAATATTTATATCTCGGAGATTTCTACGACAGATTCTGGATTATCGCTATGAACAAGGGCTTTATTTTTCAGATTTGTATTAAAATTATTTAATGTTTATTTTGATATAAATTTAACGGTAATAAATGAACTTTACCGTAAAAGAACCTTATAAATTTTCTCCTTTTTTTTTCCCTTTCTTCTTTAGGCTCATTCTTTTTCTCAAAAATATTTCATAAAATGTCTACTCAGTGGAAAAATGCATAGAACACAATTGGTGTTAGAGACTACAATTTGAAAGAAAATGAGCCCCACATGCGGGCATCATGCTATGAGACTCATTATTGGTGACTCTGTACTCTTCTTCGGTTTCATATTGTGTACTTATTTTTTATTAATAGGTGGTGTTGAATATCAATAATGTGCTTAAAGATTTATTTTCCTTCCCAATCTAAATAAAGATAGGATTACAAGTGTGGGAAGGGGTTGTGCTTGCACAAACACCCATATTTTCAACAACTTTCCAATATCGTACTCAACCCGCATACAGCCATATGCACCAACTGGACGATCACAAGTGGTATCTTTGCTTTTGTGGTGCTCCAAGTATATTTGGGTTGGAGATTTTCACTGGTGGAAAGATATCATATCAAATAATAAATTAGACTAAAGAAATAAAAATCAAGGCTAACGTTTTCTCAATCATTTAAAGTTTTATTTTTATGTTAATACTATTATTATGTATGTATAATGAAATGTGTGCAAATAATTGTTAACTTTGTCGCTGTCTCAATTCTATAAGACAATGGCTCGTGGATAAGCCCTTGATGTGGTGGCTTCGCCCATCCATCGGTGGAATCCAAGCCCTATTCTATAGGTTCTTCCCCCCACCCCTTCTTTTTTTTTTTTTTTTGAACACGAAAATCACTTTAGAATTAAACAGTCAAATCGACAAGTACAACCGAAGATACAAAGTAAGGGATCATATAAACCCCAACAAAATCATGTGAACAATTAAAACCAAAGAAAACTAAAACATGAGTAACATCATTACCACTCCTATTTATTACCACCCCTTCTTGACTTCTTCTGCTTCACCCAATTAACAACAGCATTTGTAACGAAAATTTTCAACCAATTGTATATAACCCAAAGTTTTTTATTAAAAAAAATAAAAAGAAGAAAAAAAAAACTCACTTTACTCCAGTATTTCCTTTTTCTTTACATCGAAACTCTTAACTGATTATTTTGTTTATTTATTAATTTCGTTGAACCAATCATTTTAACTCTAAATGCATTTTTTTTATGATTGATGTAACTTCACAAATTGCCCAAAGTCCCATACAATGACTAATTTAAGCAATTTTAACTTGCTCAGATAAAAGGATTAATAAGAGACTGCCCCCGACGTCGAAAAGGCCCTTGCTCCATTTTTTTTTTTCCTTACAAATTATATAAAAAAAGATAAAATTATTTTGATAACATGTGTTATAACGTAACATAATCTTGATAACTTGAGTTTTTGATGATATTAAAACGGCACTTGACATTTTTAAAAATATTTTTTAGAACTTTGAAGTTGATTTTAAACATGTAAAATAACCCCATATTCTTCTATTTAATTAACAAAAAATTAATAAATTTAAAAAAATCGTGAATTTTTTTATTTTGTTGTTTTCTTTTAAATAGTTTAAACAATTAAAATATTTTTAGATTTTTTTTTTCAAAATATTAATTTCTATTTAAATTAATAAAAATAATAATTTTAACATTACATGTCTCAAAATTTAATTTTCAAGTACTAAGAAGATGTTTTTTAAAACGTCAAAATATAGTTATAATATTATAAAAAGCACAGTATATTAAGAACATGTCTCGGTATTACACATAATTTGGGTATCAAAATGATTTTATGTGCTAACAAGATTCTAAATTCTTACTTTAACCCAACTTTTTAACAAAAATTCAAAAAAGTAACCAGTTAGAGATTTCTGTTACTACAGTTGCTCCAACGTCTCTTTAGCCTCGTTGTTTACAGCTAGTTGAATACGAGAATAAAACGACTAAATAAATGTTATTTTCAGTATTTAGGGAGATTATGTTGTATTTACATTATATTTTTAATTAATTAAAAATTAATGAAAGGTATTTATTCCCGTAATAAGTTCCCAACTTTACTACGTTTTATTATAAAAAGTGGCTCACAAGGTGAGCACTTTCGGCTGCCGGAAGAACCTGATTTTAAGATTCTCGTTCTCTTCCCAGCAAACCAAAAATACAATTAATTTATTTATTTATTAATTTAAAAAAAAACTTTATTAGAAAGATTTTATAATTCCTAAGAGCTTCTATTCCCCAGTATTATCCCTCGAAGCCCTCGAGAATTTTAGGAAAACTCTCTTCTCGATTCAAACTCTCTTATTTATTTATTAGTACAATTAAAGCTTCTATTCCTTTATTTTTCTTTTTTGTTTTGTTGTTGGAATCGGAGGTCAGCTTATATTCTCAGAAATCGTTTTTTGAGAAAGAGAAAAAAAAAAAAAAGATAAAAAAAAAAGCGAAGCGTGTGAGAGAGAGAGAGAGAGAGAGGGATTGAGAGAGAAAATGCTGTGTCGAATGGTTATGGTGCCGAGGAAGAAGAAGACTGGGAAGGTTCCGGTTTACCTTAATGTTTACGATCTCACTCCCATCAATGGCTACGCTTACTGGCTCGGCCTTGGGGTTTATCATTCTGGTGTTCAAGGTAATTCTTTTTGTGTTTTCTTTGGTGTTATTTTTGCTTGTTATGGTCTGTTTGTTTTTCAAGAAAGAGTGGGAAAGTGTAGAAACGATGAAATCTTGCACTTATTTTGCTCCACGGTGACGGCTTGTTTTTCCGAGTTTTTTTTCTTCGTTGTTTGAAGTGAATTTGGTTCTGGATCTGTGATTCTGTTGTTTTGTTTAATTTTTAAGTTATTAAAACTCTCATTTCGGATCTAGAACGTGGATTTTATTTCCTTTAAAAGAATACATCCAATTCTAAGGAGTTTTCCATGTAAATTTATGCTTCATTGCTTTGATCGGCTTTTTGTTTGGGACGTGAGAAAATAAGAAACACTTTTGTCTAAACAGAATCCTTAGCTTTCAATTTTTTCACGCAAAAAATAAAAAAAAATCTTAGAATTTTGTGTAGTTAAATTCATATTAAATTTTGGATAACCAATAAAAACGTAGGATATCTTTTCTTTTTTTTTTTTTAAATAATTTTATCAGCAACCACAAATGAATGCCTAATAAAACTCAAGCAAGAGAAGATTTTTATGATGGATTTCTTTGACGCTTGACTTGCATAAAATATCTTCTAAGTTCTACCTAAGATTATGGTATTTTTAAACCGAACCCTCTTCGAATTTATTTATTCTTCACGTATATGTTCACTCATTAGTGGTTTTATTCTATTATTGTTATTATAATTGTTTTGTGTATTATAGTCCATGGCGTTGAATACGCTTTTGGAGCCCATGACCATTCTACGACTGGAATTTTCGAGGTGGAACCCAAGCTTTGTCCTGGTTTCACGTTCAGAAAATCCATTCTGATTGGTAGGACAGATCTGGGACCCAAAGAAGTTCGTTCGTTGATGGAAAAATTAGCAGAAGACTATTCTGGGAATACTTATCATCTCATCACCAAGAACTGCAACCATTTCTGCAACGACGTGTCTCTCAAGTTGACGGGGAAGCCCATCCCTCGTTGGGTTAACCGGCTTGCTCGACTTGGTAAGAGATCTCTTTCTTATATCCCAATTTGTGTGTTTTCTTGTTTTGAATAAAATGTGAATGCCAATGGAATATAGGAGAAGGAAAGATACGTAAACAAGTAATTTAGTTTACCATTCTATATTGCAAGTCAAAATAGTGTTTGTCACCCTTAAATAAATAATGTTTTGTTACTTTAAAAGCAATAAAAATACTGAAGTAGAGAAAAAGAAATCATTCTGTTGCAAGTCAACTGTATTTAAATAATCCCAATTATCAACTCCTAGAGCTTCTTTGGCTGGGGGGGTAAAAGTGAAGGAAGGATAGGGATGAGAGGACTAGTGGAGTGATTTTGGGACTTTATGGTTGTTTGGTAGGAGAGAAAAGAGGAGAAAATGGATTGAGTGAGAGATTTCAAATCCTTCGAAAAAAACCTTTATTTTAATTTCCTCCCTATTTTCCTCACATGGTTTATATACTTTTCTTTCCTTCCTATTTCCTTCCTGCTTTTGTTAAGGTCATTTACTGAGCCTTGCTTGTTATTACATTCATTTTTCGTTTTACCTTTCTAAAATTGAAAAGAAGGTAGAGCGTTGTCTTGAGAGAATCTCCACCATTTTCTTACTATTTTAAGAAAAATTAAAGTGTTACCAATGAACTAAGGAAGTTGGTTGCTTGTTGAAGCTAACAATAAGCTAAAGGCCTTTGTCAGGATCGCTTTGGTACTTGTCTCATTCAAATAAGAAAACTTGGATTCATAAGTTAGATAGCCAGAGAGGATAGGGATATAATTCAATGCTGATGAATGTCATTGCCATGCTAGTAGACTGTTTTTGCTCACTACTTATATTGTGAAAACTCCATTGTTTCCTTTCGAACTTAGGCCTTTTCTGCAATTGTGTTCTTCCGGCTGGATTGAACGAGACAAGGGTTCGGCAAGTAAGATCGGATGGGGTTTGTGAGGGACAGAAGAAGAAACTAAAAAGCCATTCAAGTAGGTTTCCTTCATCTAGTCGTCCTCCTCCTTCGTTGTCAACATCATCGTCTTCTACTGGTTCATCATCCAGAAGCAGTAGACCAAAACGTTGTACCGCTCCATCTTCGTCTTTGATTCATTCTTCTTCAAACTCAACTTTGTCTTTAAAGCTCTGATTGCGTAATGGGTGGTTTTCAACTTTCTAGGAATCTAGAAATTTATATAAGCAAAAGTTGGAGGGAAGATGAGAATATTATATTCCTGCCCCATTTTGTTTTCTGGTTCTGCTTATCTTTGTCACTCATAGTTGTGGAACAGCTGCTTCAAACTGATGCAGCGCTTTCTCTCTCTGTAAAATGCTTCATTTCTCTGGCGTATGAGGGACATTACATTTTGTAGTCAATCTGTGTTCTCAATGTGTTTGGTTCTGCTTGAAGAGAAAGATCGGGTAGTGATGAATTGTCATTGTATATATGTCTGTACATTATAATACATGCGCACATACACTTCCAAAAGTCTTCTATATGTGAATGTTGGAGAGACGTCCAAATTTATTATTATAACGATAATACAAGCACAGGATATAGTCATGATCATAGTTCATGTGAAAGTTATTCAGAAGATGTGTATGTGGAGAACAGAGTAATTTGTGTTGGTGAAATGCACTGGTTTTGCGGGGGACCTCTGTTTCTGTTTAATGCCGGTGGTGAAATGTTAACAGCATTTTAAGCCTTATGGGATGAAACTGTGTGCTTTGTAATGCGTGTTAGAAAGTGTTAAGGTCATGACTCATGTGTTTACTTTGGTTAATGTGTACAAATGAGAGTTGTGGAAGAATCTCTCCTCAAAATCACAACACATGTTTTCTTTGTTGTAACAATAAATAAATGTGCCAATTTCCGTTTACTTCGCTGATTTGAGTTTAGAATTCGAGTTTTTCTACAGTAAAAAGCTCTCATAAACAATCACATCTAACTTTTTTACTATAGTAAAAAGCTCTCATATAAAGTCATATCTCAACTCGAATTCTAAACTCGAATCATCGAAATGAACGGGTAAAAGAGTTTTTACCCCCCAATGCGCCAATTTCAATTTTCCTTTTTCATTGAATAGCTTCATCAATACCCGATAATAATAAGAGATATTCTTCAGTACGTCAACATACTGGTATGTCACATTTTTTGTTAGTCGAATTTACATAAAATCACGTAAATATTAAAAAGTATGCATATTTAACTGTTAAAAAACATGATCTACTGGTGCGTCAGGCGTATCAAAAAATCTCTCATAATAAAATCAAAAACAAAAAAGGGAATTTCTCTTATGTTCTCTCTTTTTTGGGAACATCGGTGTTCCTTGCTTATCAGCGGTCGGATTTATAATATTTTTTCAATTTGATTTGACTTTTGACGAAATTTAATAGAGATCTGACGACTCATAAGCAAGGAATACTGGTGTTCTAAAAAAATATGGAACGCGAGAGAAAGTCTCAAACAAAAAAAAAACAAAAACAAAAACAAAACGAGAAAGAGCAAGTGTGCGGTAAAACCAACTTTTAAGAGTATTTACACCCAATATGTTAGGCTATTCTTCATTCTTTCATACAAGATGAGTTCAAGGTTCGGTTCTGTCCGATTAATGGATTGTGTGTTGTCGGATACTTGGTATTGACGGTGAAAATCGGCCAACATCAAAGGAACTAAATCTCTAAATCGAAATCCGATTGAAAAGGATAAAACAATCATGAACAAGAGGAACCAAATCTCTAAATCGAAATCCGATTGAAAAAGATCATGAACAAGTGAAATAAAGATCAAAGTAAAAATGAAACACAATGATGTAAAGTGGTTCAGCTTAATCTTGCTTACGTCCACTGTGATTGCTGAGTTTTTGATTAAATTATTGGGACTACATACTCCTAACTCTCCGTTACATATTCTCTCTACATTCAAGCTGGTCAGGTCAACGAGCTAAGCTAGGTCCACGAGCTGGTTTGGTTGTTTGTGAGCTCAGCTTCTACCTCAGTTTGTAGAGCTCAACTCGTACCTGAAGGTGATGTATTCGTCAGCTCATTTAATACACCTTACCTAACTGAGCTAGAGCTACTTTGAGCTTCAAATTCTGATATTGTCAATGTGGAATGCTATATTAACTTGTGAAAAATTATGGCATAACACTTGGATTAGGGCTTTTTCATTCTGTTGGTGGATCCTTTTATTTTACCATAAACAAAAGAAATTGTGATAGTATGACACCTATGATTCTGCTGGAATCATCGAAGAAAAACATTTTTTTTTTTTTTTTAAACTACTGCAGTAGTGCCTAACAGTTGCAGTAAGAAAAAAAGGAAAAAAAAAAAAAATCCAATCAAGAAGACCAAAAAATTACAAGATGGAGGTGCAACCCTTTCTGCAACATAATATTGGATTCTTCTATAATAATGACCTTTTCCGGTACGTCACGTACCAATAGGTTAAATTTTTTATCCGTTAAATCTGCATAAAATTACGTAAAAATTAAAAAAATATAAAAATTTAACGGCTATAAAAATTTAACCTACCGATACACTAAACGTATTAAAAAATCTCCCTAATAATAATAATATTAGATTCATAAAAACTTTTCTTATATTTCGAAATTGGGATACATATGGTTGAATTTCCGCCACAAATAGACTACCAAGGGGGACAATTCCTAGAAACTATTATTGTTTAAATATTTGTTACTTATGATGGAAAGAAATAAAAAAACAAATGCATGAATATGCTAACAGTAACAAGTTAAAAGTCAATTTTGTCGGCAATGACCAACCTACAAGAATGACCCAGTTCTTAGAAGCTCACAAATAACAACCTTAGCGAGTCTTTTGTAGCCTCAAATGAACCAAAATAAAGCAATTAGCCTTTTTTCAATTATTCTGATGTTCAGGGTAAAACTTTCCTTTTGACTTAAATTTAGGATCCATTGTTACTGTATCCTTTTTTCAATTATTCTGAATGACTTGGGGTTTGAAAGAAACGAGTGAATTTGGGTTCAATGAACACTTTTGTGCAATCAATACTTTGTTCGTTTTACTGATTCGAGTTAAGATGTGATTTTATGTGAGAGTTTTTTACTATAGTAAAAAGTTAGATGTGACTGTTTGTGAGAATTTTTACTGTAACAAAACTCAAATTCTAAACTCGAATCAGCGAAACGAACGAGGTGCATGAAATGCTTGCTTCCATTTCAAATGTCAATAGTAATATTTCAACTTGCTCTAACTTCAAACTCGTATAAACGTGTTTTTAGGCCTTTAGTTCTTTTATTTTTAAATAAAAAAAATTCTTCGTCTGGTAATGAAAATTGAAAAAGCAAAGACCAACAGAGACTTTTAAATCAGATTAAAACGTGCAGAAATGGGCGTGTTTTCCCTAAGCCTATAGTTATCGGCATGATCCATTTGGCCATGACGAGGTCCTTATTTGATAGAAGCCATGGCTAGGTCTAACTAAAAAAAAATAAAAATAAAAAAGAGTTTGGAGATTTCTTTGATGAGGTACGGCAAAAACACATTATTAGTAAGACACAATTTTTAAGTTCTAAGAATAACCTAACTCTTAAAAGCTAACAAGTTTTAAGTTTGATATTAAAAAAATACTTTACCAGTATGACCCAACTCTAAACCTCTATTAGAGATTTTCATTATATTTCATTAATTTCATATTTTTCATGATATGGCAGTTTAGTATCGTGTATTTTCATACTTATTATACAATTTGTTTAGTCAGTTTGTGAAACGTCCAATGTCACTTTAATTTTAATTTACACAAAATTGAATCACTGTCTCCCCCAAGTCCAAAATTGCTTTAGACCATTATTTGAGATCAAGAATATTCGAGTTTGATTAAAAATGTGAATCATATGCATCATTCGAATCAAATGCATCATGAACTGATTAAAGATACCCGATGTTCAAAGAAGTGGACAAAATAATGATCTCTAGCTAAGGGCCGAGCTATTTTCGTCTTTTCGCAATACTATGAATTATGATGGACCAAAAAAAAACAAGGCTAATTAATAGAAGGAAACGTTTTCTTGCTTGGCTTTAGTAATTATACCACATTGCCGACATTCCTCTTCTGGTTCTTGCTTTTGTGGTTGTGTATATGCACGCTAAGGTCTATCATCCATGATCCAGCAATTGGTGTAAATATATATATATATATATATCTCTATTATTATATTATAAAAGGAGAGTTTCTTTTAAAATACTATTTAAAAATTTAGTTAAGTTATTTTGTCGTTGTGCTTTTGTCTTTTATGCTTCTACGTTTTCTTTTTCTTTTTCTTTTCTTTTTTTGTTTTTTATCATCCTTTTAATTTGCTCTTGAGTTTTTTCCTCTAAAATTATACTATTATTTTATTATCCTTATAACTTTTTACGTTTTCCCTAAACTGATATTATCATTTTTTTTTCTCATATTATTATATAAGTACCTCTTTTTAAATATATTTCAATTAAATATTTTCATAAATATATAGATCTTATTTTATTAAATGAGGCTTTATAAATACACTTTTTTAAATTTCCTTCACTTCAGTAATTTTTCTCAATGAAGTTTTACTTAAAAAAAAATCCTTTTGATCATATGTGCCCTAATAATTACTACTCTATTTAATTTTCTAATATGTTTTCGAATGTGTTATTTTATCTATACATGTAATTCTTTTACTAAAGCCACATTTAATTAAAATGTACATTTTGCCACATTATTACTTTTAGAAATTTATACTTTTAAATGTGCCTCTTTAAAATAATCTTTTTATATATTATATCGAAATAATTTTTCTCAAATGTATACATATAAAAAACATAAACATTACTGCTTGTAGTCTTTTAAAACCATTTTTTTTAATGCTACCGTTATAAATATTTGTCCTACTTAAACGTTCAATTAACGAACTTATTGTCTACTACTTTATCAAATATACTCTTAAATATTTAATTAAGAGAATAATTAATAAATTAAGAAAATAAACCAAATTATACATGTTTCAAACAATTGAACAAACTAAATTCACACGTGCAAATGTATGTATATATATATATACTCGTTTGCGAAAGTCATGGACTTGAAGAATGAATAGGCGATTGATATTGTAAATTAAGCACGTGTAGTTAGCATGCATGCAAAATGGGTTGGATAAGACTCGATTTAACTTTTTGCGAGTCACGATCTAATCCTTATCGCTAGTATAAAACTGCACAAAGTATGTATTGTCGACCCAAATTAAGATATTTCCTGTTGTTTTTGGGGAGAAAAATAAAGGTAAATTCATATCAACTCCTCTACAAATTTTATTTTGGCTGAATTACCCATATTTATATATATATATATATATATTCAATGTACACGTCTCGAAGAAGAGGGACCGTGTCCTTTCAAAAAAGAAAAAAGAAAAATATTATAAATTCTTCCTAAATTTTATCATTTGTGTCAACATGCCTCTTGAACAAGTGCATATTATGCCCCTTAAATTTTATCACTTGTATTAACTTGTCTTGTGAGTCTAACACTGT